ATCTGAATGTAGTAAACTTTTGTAAACGAAAGTCTGACTGTCTTCATCTTTTATTTATTCTTTTTATTGTCTAGTAAAATTAAATTGAAAGTTGATTTAGGTTTAGTTATTTTGCGTGTATTTTGAAATATATGTTTTAATATATAACACGTTTCGTGGTTGTTTCGTTTAAGGAAAAGATGCTGTTTTTAAGAGTAAAAGCTTTAAAAATCCAAGGAAACATTATACAATTTTTTTTATATAAATTAATGTCATTTCTAAAAAATAAATATTTCTGTTTTCTGTTTCAGTATTGCTTGCATGATTGAAACTCTTTTAAAATGGTTTGATATTTAATAGTAACTGTACAGATGTTAGAACCAATATTTTTGAATTTTTGTCATATTTGCATCTATATATCTGGTTATCTTTTTGTTTCATTGATTGTATAAAGTAATTACCAAAATGCTTTTTAAATTTTGATGTCTATCTGCATATTTAATTGGATTAAAATGTTTATAGCAAATGTTATACCCATCATTAGATCTTATTACTGTCAGAACATGACACTTAGCTGATATTTTTAGATTTTTCAACATGACACTTGATTTTACATTCTCTTTTGTCATATATAAAACTATAAAAACATTTTAATATATTCAAATTATTATTATTTACAGTCTTTTCAGTTTAAATAAATAATCTATACCGAGTAAAAGATAAAATTTCATATAATGTACGTAAATGTCGTCCATCTTTATTGACAAGTGGTTTTTTATTTAAAAAATTAGCCGCTTTATTTAAATGGTATACTTTACACTCTTCACCTGACTAGTCTTTATAACTATATAATACGAGACTGTTTGAATGTATATTTAATTTATTTAATGATTCCATTTATTCTTCTAAGTAGCCCTATCTTCTTGTATCATTAAAGTGCAGTTGTGAAAGCATAACTAAGTTTATTAATTATTCCAACCTTACAGTCAACTTACAAATTATTCATAATTATGTAACTAGTTCTGTTCGTGTCTTACAGAAATAGGAGTTTACATTTCTCTTTTCTTTTGTTTACTATCTTTTACACAATGCTTTGATCTAGTTCTATTTGGCATCTACTGGTTCACGTTCCATGTCTCCAGCCATAGGTAAGTTATCGAACTTAATTCCGTTTAAATTCATTTTGAATATTTCATCAACCTTATGTCTTATCCAGCCAATGATGATATTGAAATCGTCTTGGAGAGGCGAAACAGCACGTGTCTTACTCATCGCTCCGTTTCCGTGAGTGACGGTGTCGCGTGTTCACACCCACCGATGATGTCATTAAAGAGATGGGAAACCCCCATTCTCCCCCTTTAACACTGGTAGACTCCACGTCTCCCTTCCGCCCTCCCCCAGCCTGACCTCATTTGGCTGGTCACACCTCTCATACTAGAAAGTTGTGACACAACAAACAGCTGTTCGGGAGATTTATTGATGCACTAGGCTATCCTGACATTGACCTTGAAAGAGTGGGAAGGAACGATAGGGGAAGTTTTATTTGTCATCCCACCGCAAGACTAGTTTACAAGACCGGTTGTTGAAGATAGAACCGAAATTCTTACAGGATATCTCTCTTGAGTGATGTGTGACGTCACTTGTTTTACCAACCTTGTAGATAGGTCAATCACATCCTACTCTAGAATATTTAAAAAAAAAATTATTGCATTAGAAAAGATGCTGCACAGTTTACGTCTCCAGTGGTACCGTTGATACAGAGTTTTTTTTTGTAATTATCCATGCTAATTTTTTTTTATTTTTGTTTTACTTCAGCTCCATGCCCTTGGCAATTATTATCAGTATTTAATTGCTAGAAAATTATATACTATTATACTTCATTTAATTTTTTAAAATAAAATTATTCCTTCAAAATGTAGTTCCAAAGAAAAAAAAAAAAGCATCATTATTGATTAAGTTTTTTTCCTATTTAAGAATAAAATTAACTAAATTATTTCAGGATTTATCTCTGTCAAAATTAAATTATCTCGACTAGCGATAGGAGAAAGTTAAGAAAGAACGAGTTATTTTATTTTGCTGCCAAATACAGTTTGTGTGCATTCGCATTATGAACAATGAAAAGCGGAGATGATAAAGAAAAAAAATAATAATAATAGTATTTTTAATTAAATAGATTTAAGAAAATATAAATAATAAGATTAATTCTATTAAGTTTATTTAGTTTTAGTCGGACAAATATTTTTAAAATTGTTTCCTTGGCGAAATGATATTATATCGGCAGAGTTGACTTTAAAATTTGCATATTTAAGAAGAAGTTTTTAATATTTTGCAGCATTTTTAAATATATTTTAAACTAAAGCTAATCTCGTATTAAAATTTTTAAAAAATTTTCTAATTTACGAATTAAATTTATTAATTATGCTTATTATTAATCATTCTTGTAATGAATTTAGTATGATTACGTTGTACGGTCTCTAAGGCTATAAATAATTTGATTTAACTAATAAATAAACTGAAAAGTGTAATAATTTTAAATTAATATTGAGAAATATACATCTCTCCAGTATTAATTTAGAGAAGGCTTCTGATTTATTGTATAATATTTGTTTTATAGCATGCCAGATCCTCTTGAGGAAATCTTCCAATTACAAATGTTTGTTAAAAATATAATCAATGTAAGAATGAGAAAACAAAAATTTACCAATTATTTTGAAGACAAATGTAGTCTATATAATGTGTTTGTTAATTCTTTTCTTAAAAATGAAGGCTTTAATTCTCCATTTTCATATCAGTAACGATATTTTAAAGTCAGTAAAGCTTAACAATTTATTTATTGATTGTTTTACAGTTTATACTGAGTAGTAGCAAAGTTTGTTTATTGTTTTGGGATATTTATAAGTACAATAATTGGCTCTTAGCACGAAATATATAGTGAACCTTCGATTGATTTATTTTAATGGATTGAAAATTTAAACTGGCACAATGACATATGGATTTTTTAACTTTGAAATGCGAATATNTATTTTTTTAATTTTAAATTTATAGCTTTATGTTTATTATTATTTTTTTTTTCTTCTTCTTCTTCATCGTGTAATTTTCAAAATGAATAAATTTTATTATGCAAATAAAAATGCATGTCTAAACAAAGTTATATGTTTGCTTTAATGCAAAGATATCAGATTGTTAATTCAGAATATGATACAAAAAATTCATACTGTTGACTCGTATAGTTTCTACTGAATATTATTAATTCTCACTTTAGCATTTGCTGTGTTTTTTTTATTTAGTAGAAACAAAAACAGTATAATATAATCATTTTAGATCCATTTTGTAATAAATTTTATTATTTAAAACTTCATTTAATTATTGATATTAATATTGAATCTGTATTTTTAAAATATAATATGAATATCAGTTAGAAATATTCTATAGTTAACTCATTTATCCACATCACATATAGTTTCACTGAGACACCAGTTTTAATTTCCAGGCAATTATCCTCGCCCTCAAAGCTCAATGGGTTTACAGGGGTATGGGACACAAGGACAGAACAGTTATCCTTCTCCCATGAACAATCCTAACTATCCTTCCCAGACAGGGATAGTTCGTTTGCCTCCTAGTGGTACACAGAATTACCCAGCTTCTACTACAGCTGGCTTTATGAATTCCCAATATGCCGGTCCTACCGGATATGGAATGATGCCTCCACCTAGCCAGTACTCCAAATCCACCATGTTACCACCTGGTAATGCACAGGCAGCAGCTCAAGCCGCCATAGTGGCGGCAGCAAATTCTGCTAGTATGCGTTCTTCACCGATGTATCTACGGCAGCATTTACAACAAAAAATGTACAGTGGAAGTTATAACAGTATGCAACAGCAACCTGGGATACCAAATTCCATGCCTGGACCCCCAACAACACCAACTCCGGCACCTTGTGGCACCCCTAATGCCAGTCAGGATGATTCTCCTATGCTTCCTCCTGCAGTCAGTACTCCCTCTTCTTCCCAACATTCTAGTATGTCACCTCCTTCTGTGTCTACACCAATTACAGAAACTTCCAACGCTGTAACTTCGTTGTCATCTAGTGGTTTTACTCAGACATCTGCCCCATCAATAGGTAAAATTTCATTCTGTCACTTGTGTCCATGTCATTTCTGTCACAATAGTATGTTGTCTTAATTTCTAATTGTGAAGTGTTTTATTTTTTTTCTCTATCTGTATAATATTCCTTTTATCTTAACTGTCTTTTATCCTTTTTAACACTCATTTTGATCATTATATATTTATTTCCCCTTAGAGCATGAGGCATTTCTAATCATTATTTTTATCTCATTTACATGAAGGCATTAATTAATTATGTGAGAAAATTCTAAATAATGTATTTGATTGATCACTTTTATATCATTACTAACGGTTACAGGCAGATTTAATTTTTATCCCTTCTTAATTTCCTGATCCAAAATTTATATAGGTTTTTAATAAAATAACAACAAATCTTTAATAT